CCTTTCTTTCCTCCTGTTTGCTTTGGGTTTATTTTGCTTTCCTTTTTTTAGTTTATTGTGGTAGAAAGTTAGTTTATTAATCTGAGACTTTCTTATTTCTTATGTAAGCATTTAGTGCTATAAATGTCCCTCTAAAAACTGTAACAGGTTTGTCCCGCATGTTTTGATATGTTGTCTTTTCATTTTCATTTAGTTTTATATTTTTTATATTTCCTTCAATACCTCCTCTTTGACCCATGGGTTATTTAGAAGTATGTTTCATTTCTAAATGTTTGAAGATTTTTCTGTGACCTTTCTGTTACAGATTTCTAGTTTGATTATACTACTATCAGAAAAGTTACTCAGTAAGATGTCAACTCTTCTATAGCTATTAAGGATTGTATTATGCCACAGGACATGTTTATCTTGGTCAATGTTCTGTGGGTACTTGAAAAGAATGTGTACGCTGTTGTTGTTGGGTAAAGCATTCTATAAGTGTTATTCAGACCTTATTGGTTGATAATTTTGTTCAATTCTTCCATATCCTTGCTCACTTTCAGCTTAGTAGTCTATCGATTAAAGACTATGAAATGTACAAGTCCCCACTGTAACTGTAGGGGTTTCTATTTCTACTCACAGCTGTATTAATTTTTAAATTTATTTTTCAATTACAGTTGACATACAATATCATATTAGTTTTCAAGTGTATAGCACAGTGACTAGACATTTATATACCTTACAAAGTGGTCACCCCAATAAGTCTAGAACCCATCCGATATCATACATAGTTATTACAATATTATTGACTATATTCCCTATGTTGTACTTTATACTCCTTTGACTATTTTTATAATGGGAAATTTGTACTTCTTAATCTCTTTCACTTTTTTCACACATCCCCCCAACCCCTCTCCCATCTGGTGACCATCAATTTGTTCTCTCTATGAATTTTCTATTTTGTTTGTCCATTTATTTTGGATTTTAGATTTCAAATGTAAGTGAACTCATATGGTAATTGTTTTTCTCTCTCTGCCTTATTTCATTTAGCATAATATCCTCTAGGTCCATCCATGTTGTCGCAAATCACAAGATTTCATTCTTTTTTAAGGCTGAGTAATATCCCATTGTATGTATGTACCACAACTTTATCCATTCATCTATCAATGGACACTTAGCAAATGATACATCTGGCAAGGGGTTACTACCCAAAATATATAAGAAACTAATACAAATTAACAATAAAACAATCCAATTAAAAAATGTGCAGAGGACATGAGTAGACATTTTTTCAAAGAATACATACATACAGATGGCCAATAGACATACGAAAAGATGCACAATGTCAATAATCACCAGCTGTTAATTTTTGCTTCATGTGTTCTGAAGCTCCATAGTCTAGTCTAAATGCACTTAGAACTGTTATGTCTTCCTGATGGATTAATCTTTTTATCTTTCTGTATTTCCCCTCATTGTCTCTAATAATTTTCTTTGCTCTGAAGATTACTTTACCTGAAGTTAATATAGTCACCCTTATTAATGTTTGCATTGTATATCTTCTCCCACCCTTTTACTTTCCACATACCCATGCCCTTATATTTCAAGTGAATTTTTTGTAGCAGTACATGGTTGGATCATTTTTTAATTCACTCAGCCAATCTCTATCCTTTAAATAGTGTGTTTAGACCATATATGTCATAATCAGTTAAGGCTTAAATCTGCCAATTTATGTCTTTTTCCTCTTCGTTTCCTCTATATCTCACCCCTGTTTCTCTTTTCTAAATTCCTATGAGTTACCTATAAGTATATCTCTTTTAATTGTTTTCTTTATAGTTGCTCTAGCTACTGTAAATATGTAACTGTCACAGTCTGCTCGTATCAGCATTTACCAATTCCATTGAAATGTAAAAATTAGGTTCCTTTACCCTCCATACTTTTAAAATATAATTGTCTTAAGTATTTCCTCAACAAACATTGGGCACCACATCAGACGATACTATAATTTTTGCTTTAACTATCGAATATGATTTAAGAATCTCCTGAGAATTAAGATAGACTATTATACTTACTCCTATTTTTACCCATTCCTATATTCTTTTCTTTCTGAATTTTCAATGCTTTTTCTGTTATTTCCTTTCTGTTTGGAGAGCTTCTCTGGCCATTCTTTTAGGGTAAATTTGCTGGTAACAAATTCTCATAATTTTCATTCATCTGAGAATGTCTTCATTTCCCTTTCATTCATGTAAGATATTTTCATTGAATATAGAATCCTGAGTTGACAGTTCTCTGCTTTCAGTACTTGAAGAATATTATGCCACTTCCTTCTGGTCTCCATAATTTCACATGAGAAATTTGCTGTCATTCAACTGAGTAATTTTAGTAACATGTCTTTTCTCCATGGATGCTATCAAGTGTTTGTTTTGTCCCTTGTCTAATTGTATTTAATTATTATGTGTCTTGCCATTTATTTACTTGGGTTTATCTTATTTGCTTAGCCTCTTGAATGCATATGTTTATGCCTTTCATTAATTTGGAGAAGTTTTCAGACAATATATCTTCAAACATCTATCCAGTTCTACTCTCTCCTCTTCAGGGACTTTCATGACATGTCTTCTCATTCCTTTGTTATCGTCCTACATGTCCCTGGGACTCTGTTTATCCCAGTTTGTTTTCTCTCTGCTGTTCAGATTGGGTAATTTCTATTGATCTGTCCTAACATTCACTGATTTTATCTGCTGTCGTCTCCACTCTACAAGTGAGCTGATCCAATGAACTTCTTATTTTGGTAACTGTATTTTTCAGTTCTATAGTTTCTGTTTGGCTTATTTTTTATACCTTCTATTTCTTTGCTGAGATTTCCTATTTTTTTGTTTGCTTCAAGAGAATTCCTAATTGCTGTTGAAGCAATTTGACAATTTCTACATCTGACTCATGTCAGCATTGGCTTGTGTAGTCTTTTCTCACTCATGTTGTGATTTTCCTGGTTCTTGGATGATAAGAAATTTTTATTGCATTCTGAGCATATTGGATTACATATTATGAGACTCTGAGTCCTATTTCATCACTTTCTTAGCATTCAGTCTCTCTGTTGAGGTTTAGCACAAGAGCTAAGTGGGTGTCAGTGGAATGGAAGATCAGCTCTCTGTTCAGCCCCACTGAAGCTGTGGAAGGTTGGTCTACGGTTTTCCCATTGGTGTTTGGCTGGAGTAGCAAAGGTACTGTCTCAAGGGTATTCCTGGATAGGTCATCCTTCTCCTGGTCCTTTAGCTAGAGGAAACAGGCTTTTCTTGAAAACTTTTTTTTTTAATCTGTGTCTATTGTTGGTTCAGGTGGGAGTCATTTGGATTCCTCTATTCTGGACATATGGGAGTCAATAAGAAAATCCAGGGAACTCCCCTCCATGTCTTTAGATTAGGTTACATTCAGGGATTTTTATTTGTAAGGGGGAGGATCTAACTGAAATGTGGCTGCTCCATATTGGCAGAATCAGATTCTGGACTAATCTGTATATTCAAAACTACTCCAGTCTTCAATACCCATAAATTCAAAGACAATTTTACATAAATTAATAGGCCACCTTCTCTAATGATTTTTTTCATTGATAAGACTTTGTATCTCCAGATATTAAACTGGCCCTGTTCATTGGGAAGTTACCTAAAGGAAGGCCTTAATTGTCTTAAGCATCTTTTACATTTTATTTTGCAGGCACCATCACTGGACACCTATTCGAGGCTTGGAAAATATTACAATGCTGCTTGAGAAAGGGATACATTCCAGACCAGTCAGTGGCCAAACAAAAGGAAAGTCTCTAGGAAAATTTGCCTATAGGTCTATGTCATTTTTTCCTACCTTAGCCTAGAAAATAGCCATAAACAAACATTCTCTAGATACACTTGTTCTTTGAACTACAATGAAACTTTTTCTGTCTCATAAAAGCAAAGCTTGTTATGAATGGTATTTCCTCCCCTTCAAATTGAAGCTTGGATGTTAACTCCGGTATAATTTTTTCCTTCTCACCTGTGTTCCAGTTGTAATGAGTTTTTCTAAATCTTTTATCGTTCACTCCCTCAGAGATGCCCAAACAAGGTGCTTCTACCACCTGCATTTAAGATAACACCAATGTCCCTCCCATGTGAGCCCAGGGTTGTCTCCAGCTCATGCACAGTGCCTCACAGAGGCCCACCTTGGTCACTGTCCTCAGCAACCTCACGGGGGTCTGCTCCCCAGAGCAGGAGCATTATTTTATTGTACCTGCCTGGCAGTTACCAAAAAAGGATGTGAATAATGGCAGCTATGAGTCCCAGGAGGTGTGACATTGTTGTAGTCACAGCTATACCTTCGACCTAAATTGTCACCTGACCCTGTAGGAGTGGTATTGGTAGTTGTGATGGTTGTACTGTAATTTAAAGATGGCCAAAAGGAAATAAGATCTATTTTATAGATATCTATTCCGGGCATTTTCCCAGAATGCTCCAACTGGAAAGTAAACTTCTATCCCATTTCTTAAGGTCCTCCTTTAACCTGTCTTCTTTTGTACTATAATATTTATGGGGCGGGCAACGGTTGGAGCATGAACGATACTGCAGAGAGCAGACATCACCTCTATCCTCGTAAAGTTTACCTTCTAACCCAGGAGACATATTACCCCAATAGCTACTCCAACGATTATTTAGCCAGTTGTATTAAAAGCAATAATAATGCAATAAGTGACTTCAAAATCTCAACAAGAGTCATATTTTTTCAACGGTGTCAACCTAGGTGCCAGGCACAGCAGAGGATGTGTTAGAGCAAGAGAAGGAAACAATGCAAGTGCTTCAGAATTAGCCAGCATCTGATCTCCACGGAATCGTTTCATTACCGTCATTTCATTTTGCCTCTTCCTAAGTGTTCCCCACACGGGGGTTCTGAGGCCCTTGGTGAAAGAGCAGTGCATGTGATGAGTTTCTAAAAGTTCAGGCAGAATTCTTATAAGTGGCCCCGTGGGGGAGACGGGGGTGCCAGGACCCCCCAGCAGCAGGCCTCACCTCCTTGTTCGTCCTGTCGGCCTGCACCAGCGTCCCGTTCAGGCACGGCTCCACGTAGTGAAGCTCCTCGTTGTACTGCAGAGGGAAGAAAGAGCCAAGAGGAAACGATTAGGCATTTAAAGGGTCCCACTTAATAACTTAAAGATACACACACACCAACAAAAAAGCAGCATGGTCGCAGGCTCAATTCATTCACGTAAGGTGGCCTTCCCAATTGTTGCCCCTAGAGAAATCGTGCATATGTGACAAAGTCAGGCTTGATTCATTTCTTGTTTGAAGAAGAAACTTCTTGGTGTCTGGCAGTGCTCAGGGTGTACACAATTAAATGATCATCCCTCAGGGGCAGCTCCAAATGCTGGGGCTCCCTGGGCACGGCTGACAGCACCCGGTCCATGTGGGATCTAAAGAGCATCCCAACTTGGGCAAATAGAGCTCCAGTCCTGTCTTTGGCTTCAGGGAGCCAAGGGAATCATGTGCGGGTCACACAGGTCTGGGGACAGAACAGAGGAGTGCCTTGATGTTCCCTGCTCACTCTGGATGGCTACGCAGGTGTTAGTCTTGACATTACTACACAGCGACACCACCTTCCACTCAGGCCAATGCCCACCTTCCAATCATTTTTGATCCCAGATCACCCAGAATAAGGCCCTTTGTTTTTGTCCAAAGTTCACAGCTAGGAAGTGGAAATATGAGCATTCTCTTCATTTCCCTTATCAAGCACAATTCTCTGCACTGTAGCTAGGCTCGTCCTCCCAAAATGTATATCTGGTTATGTCACCTCTTATCAACACCATTCACAGCTCCCACTGCTCTTCAGATGAACCTTCCCAGGCCTTGGCAAGGCTCTGGACACTTGGTATCTGTTGACCTTTCTAGCATTTTCACTCTTTAGTCCCCACCCCATGAACTTAACACTGTCCAGCCCTATTCCCTTTCTGTCCTGACACGTCCTGTCTTTTCCTTCAGGCCTCCCACCGCTGGGCCCTCGCCTGGCGCCCTCACTCTGGCATCTCCTGGATGCCATCCTCTGCGCCAGCTCATTCTGCCTCCTCCAGGAAGAGGCCTCTCAGCAGGTGAGGCCCCTCTCCTGCATACTCCCGAATGCTAGTTTCCTGGTGCCTGGCTCCTCGTCACCAGGCGGGGTCACATTGTGAGAACCCAAGTCTGGTTCCTCAGTGCATTCCCTGTGCCAGCACAGGGCTGGGCCCACAGCAAGTGCCCGGGAACGATATGCTCAATGGGACTGTCGTGGCCCTTCCGCTTCATGGACCAAAGGCCCAGCCCAGAGCTCCCGAGGGGAGGAACCAAATCCATCTCTCACAGGCCCAGATCTCCTGCAAAGTCTGGCTAAGGGGTTTGGACGTTAAGCCCGAGGGCATGGAGGACTACAGAGGCCTGTGAACAGGAGGATGAGTGAAATAAAGAGATGAGCTTGGGACAACTGCTCTGGGCACACTGCAGGGATGGGCTCAAGAGGACCAGACCTGCAGCTGCTGCAACAGTGATTGAGGAGCATCAGGTTTCACGTGCTGAGGTGCAAGTAGGAGTAGCGATGATACTAATAGCAGCAATTAACTGTTAGTGAGCACTTACTTCACCTAAACATAGGCTAGAGGTCATCCACAAGATATTTCAGCCTCATGTGGTAAGCACTTCAAATTATTTGCCCTTTGCAGATAGGGAAACTGAGGCAGGGCAAGGATGATCTACTTGTCCAAAGTCATACACAGATTCCATCCTAGGTAGCCTAACCTCACAGCCACTGACCTCAGGACAACAAAGCCCCCAGTGCCTCCTCTCTGGTCCCCAAGCCTCTGTTTGTCATCAGTCTGACTTTAACCTTTGTTCTCAGTCTAGTCAGGCAAAAGCATTTGAAAAATTATAGCTCAATGGTCTTAGCACTTAGATCTCCTCTGATGAGGCATGGAGAAAGAAATACATTCATGCAATTCTGAAATGAGCCACTGGGAAAGGGGAGTGCAACTTTCCGTGATCAAATGGAACATCATCTCAGGCCCCAGAAAGCGACTGCACCATCCACCCTGAAGCAGAGCGTCCCCAAAGTTCTCAGTTCACATTGGACTGGCACTGGATGTGGCTGGGAAAGGAAACAAACAGCCATCCCCCTTTCCTCCACCCTCGCTGTTGACTGATTTAGTTCAGGGTGACAATATGTCTATTCCTAGAGCATAAACAGTCTGAGCCGATCGTAACCATCCAGCCCCCCTCCAGGGTATACAGGCTTTCACAGTGTCTGGCCACAAGAGGTGGTCAAGTGACTCATTTTCAGCCAATGAAACTTGAAGGGGTAGTTTTCTGGGCAGTTTCAACGAATCTTTTTTCTTCCCATTAAAGAAAAACTCTTCTATACCCGCTGCCTTCTCTCGTACTTGGGATGCTCTTGTGCAGTTGCAAATCATTTTGCAACAAGGTTAAGAGTGGACAGCAAAGTTCAAGGAAGACAGAGCGGGAAGATGGAGCCAGTGTGGGCCCTTGGGGACACTGCTGAGCCACTGCAGCTGAGGCCACGTGTCTTCTCCCTGGATATTAGGAGGTGCGTGGATGCTGAAGCAGCCTTCATTCGGCGGTTTCGTAACCTGTAGCCAAAAACTTTCCAACTCCATTTTCTGGGTATATTTAAAAACTTCATCTGTGCTCTGCCTAATACACATTCTCAAAGTTGATTCTTGTGGTTGTACACTCTGAGCTGGGAGTCAGGACACAAGTCCAAGTCCTGCCTCTGCCATGTACTCACTGTGTGGCCTTGGGGAAGTCACTAAACCTCTCTGATTCCAGATTCTTATGCATAAGAAGGTGCTAATTCATCTTCTGTTATCTTCCAGGGGTTCCCATGAGGAGCCAATGAGGCAACAGACCTGAAAGTGTTTGACTAATGTAAAGGCCTGTGCATGTGGGGGGCTGCGAAGGGGGCTCAGAAGTAAAGAAGACCGAGAAGTTCTTGCCCTCATCAGGGAGGAACATGTGCAGTAATCAAAACCATGCTTGCCGTCCCTGTGTGAGCCGGGGCCACAGTGGAGGAATCTGCTCTTCTGAACCCCCGCCAGCTTGTTAGTGGCATCATCCAAGCTTGCAGTTGACTAATTTCCCTTGACTGCATCAGGATAAAGCTATGCTGAGCAATCTGGTCTGTATCACCAAAGGGAGCTGGCTCAGCTGTGTGAGGGAACGGTGCACACCGGGCAGCTGTGCCAAGGAGGCCCGCTGGCTGTGCACGCTCACCACACTGCCCCGGAGCTCCTCCCAGGGGACGCCAAGGGCACCCTGCACGTGGGACTGCTTCCAAGCTCCCGGCAGCTCTCTGTTTGGAAACCTTTCACTTTTGCATTTTTATGGATGCTCCCTAAATGTCTACTCTGTGAAACAATAATGTAGGATGGCCACATTATTTTACAACTGCAGATCTGGTCACCTCAGCCCTAAGATGTGCCGGCCTCATGAGTGGGTCTCCTGCATCCTTCCTTAAACAATCAGACGGCAATTGTCTAAGGAAGAAAGGGTGCGATGCAAGGTCACTGGCAACATGGACTCTGCTTCTGTCATTTGCTTTTGCTCCTTCCTGCCACCAACACTGAACCCTAAAAAGGAGCTAGACCAGCCCCTTCCCCCCACAAAGCAGTAAATTGCTCCTGAAATTCCTGAGACATGAGAAGAGTCTGTTAGCAGAACAGGGGAGGACACAAGCAGCCCTGGAGAAGGTCCAGCCGCTCGCCAGCCACATGGTGAAGAGATGAACGAAGCACTTTCACCCCTTAGGAGCTCAGACAGCCACATAGACACAGTCTCTGTTGGTTTCCTTCTCCCCTTCTCTTGTCTGACTGGGTCCCCTCCTCTGATTCACACAAGGCTAGGCAGTAGAGCTAATGCAACTGAGGCAAATGGGCTGGTTTCAAATCCTGGCTCTGCTGCACACTAACTGGGTGACCCAGGCCAGGGCATGTCAGCTCTGTGAGCGGCAGTGTTTGTGTTGGGGAAATTGGGGATTGACTGAACCTCCCCCATGATCTCACTGTCAGGATGAAATGAGATGATTCGGCAGAGAGTCGACATAGAACCTGGCATATAAGAGGCAGAAAGAAAGTATGTGGTACACATTCTCAGGAAGAAGGAGAATATTATGTGAAAGTGATGTGTGCTACAGGAAGACAAAGACCACCGTGCACCCTCCACCCCCAGCTGGCACTTGCTGAGAAGGAGTGGATGTGGGGTGATGGCAGTGACCTACTCTTGGGAGCCGGTCTCATGTGCCCCTGAACATCTCTGGAAAGCAGACTCCGCCTTTGTTGGAGAGAAATGCTTCACGAGTTGGCACATGTGACTGTCTAAATACCCGAGATGGAAACCACCAGGTGTGTGGCCACACACTACTCCACTCTGAGCCACACTCTGAACTCTCTTGGTGACCCGGGTCTTTGACAGACTGGGAGCCACGACAGTGTAACCTGCTTGCTGCCCAATCCCCTTCCAGGAAGGCATCTGCCAGGGAACCCTTTGTTCCTGCGTTTGCTCAGTGAATATTAACCAAGCACCTGCTATGTGCCAGGGACATCAAATGCTGGCTAATCTCCCCATGCTCATCACTGAGTGATCATGAACCACTTCTTTCCTGCTTTCATTAGTGAAAGAATATGCTCATTACATCCGAATATAATGTCTGCTTTCCTTTTCATAATAAAATATGCTTATCTGTGAGGCTGCAGTGATCCCTCCAAAACAAAAACAGGCTTGAGATAAACCCTGGATCTTTTTCAGTGTTAGATTACATCCCACTACTCTCTCTTCACAGGAACTGTCCCTCCCGCTCCTCTGTGCCAATCACCACACTCTACACTCTGACAGCAAGGGACACATCACCAACACCACCCTTGTCCTTTCTGTTGCCCAATCTCTGCAAGCATTCCCTACATCTCTCGTCTTAAACATACAGCATAATCCTCTCTGGGAATTTTAATGATGATCTAACACAGGAAAGGCAAGTTTTAAGTTTCATTAAATGAATGGCCAGAATGTTTTGGAGCAGGATCTAAAAACAAAGAACAATTGGCTGGACTCCCCCA